TATTAGAAGAAGGTATCCACTGACTGAAGTGCTCTGATAACCAGAACCTGACCATTTGTGCAATTCTGGACAATGTTGTTTCAATTGTTCTTTCGATTTTCCGATCCGATAAATGCTCATAACTCGGCCTGCAGCGGCAATGGCAGATAAGGAAGACAGATTTGGAATCAGCTTTCAATGCTCTGCGAGGTGGTATAGGTCTCATTTAGAAAGGCCACTTCCACAAAACACGCTTCTCCCTTGTGAGAAGGACAACAAATTGAATTCGACTAAAATGACATAAACCAATAAAGGGAAAATTTGAGGTTTAATCATACAAGCAAACAACCTGCAGGTTTTGGTGCTTCTTTCGGAGCTACTGCCGCTTGTTTAGCCAACTTCTCAGCTTTCTTTTGGGCAGCAGCTTTCTCAGCCTCAATCTGCGCGACCCGGCTAATCAACTGTTGTGGGTCATCAAGGTCATCAAGGTCTAGAAAACACTGTTTTAAAAAGACATCAGCTCTGTCACTGCAAAAAAGAAACGAATACAGTTATATAGTAGATAAACAAATCAAAATGCAGAATACATGGAAAACTGACCGTCATCATCCGAAATGAAGCCGAACTTGTTGGCAACATTGCAACCATACTCGACCATTTTTGTTATAGAAGAAAGATTTGTAAAGCTTTATATGGCTTTTCGTTCCTTTGATCTCTTCTTCTTTACGGAGTAGTCCAAGTCAAAAGTCCATGCTAAATGGCCCCTAAAGCAAGCCTAATAATTTGAACTTTTCTATTCTCCAAAATGCACTCTTTCACGAGTTAAATATGAATATAAAACAATAAATAAACAAAAAGGTAAAGCTGGAACAACCATCACCGGTATGTGCACCAGAGCAATTATCGAACGATTTTTGTGTGTCTAGCAAGTCGACGCGCAGCGAGTGGGCTCTGCCGCGAAAACTACATCACCCGCCACTTTGAAAGAAAAACTTGAACAGCTGGCATGTTTTTCATTTTGTTCCTCTCTTATAAAAAAA